GAGGGGCGGGGGTGGGGGACGGTGCAGGGGAATGGGGCGAGGCGGGCGCGTCGGGAGAGGTCCGGGATGGGTCGGCTGCCTCGTGCACCCTCTGGTGCCGGACCAAGTGTTGCTTGTGCGTGAAGCTGCGTGCGCACTGCGCGCACTGGTAGGGCCTCTCGCCCGTGTGGATGCGCTGGTGCCGGATCAAGTGCGTCTTCTTGCGAAAGCGCTTCTCGCATTCGGTGCAGGGGAAGGGCCGCTCGCCGGTGTGGGTTTTCTGGTGCGAGCCCAGGTGTATCTTCTGGCTGAAGCGCTTGCCACACTCGGCGCACGGGTAGGGTCGCTCGCCCGTATGCGTGCGCAGGTGGCGGGTCAGGTGCGCCTTCTTGCTGAAGCGCTTGTCGCACTCGGAGCACGGGAAAGGCCGCTCGCCGCGGTGGCTGCGCTGGTGCAGCAGCATGTGGGCGCGCTGAGTGAAGCTGCGGCCGCAGTCGGGGCAGGCGCAGGGGCCCTCGCCGCGGTGCAGCCTTTGGTGCAGCCGCAGCGTCAGCTGGTCCCGGAAGCGCCGCTCGCATTCCCCGCAGCCATAGGGCTTCTCGGGTACTGGGGTCCACCCCGGCAGCGCGAGTTCACCCAGTGCCCCTGCGGCCCCCGGTTCCAGCTTGTACGCGGCGGCCAAACGGCCCAGGTCAGGCGCGGGAAAAGAGCTGGGCAGTAAGGCCAGGTGCTGGGGCCACTGGACCTCCTCATCTGCCTCCTGGTCCTCATCCTCCACCTTCACCTTCCGAATCATCCACTCATCTCCTGAAAAGCCAAGACAAGAAATGTCTACCAGCCCCACCGACACGAACGGCACCAACGTTCATTAGCCCAGGACCCTGGGACCCTGCAGTCTATTTCCGTACTCCACTCTCCCGAAAGGTTCCTGAGAACGACCAAATGTGAGATTCTTCTGTGAGACGTCCTCCTGAAGTCTCTGCTGGGGACCACCACGCCCCCCCACACACACACTCCCCTCCTCCCCATTCCTCCCTGGCTTGCAGCCTTTCCCCTGCTCCCTGAGCAGAGGTGTGACTTCCCCGGCCAGCAGGTGGCACGGTGGTTAAGGCGCTGGACTCCCACATGGTGGACGACTGTCCTCGGATTTCTGGACCTGGCAGCTTGAAAATCAAGCCAGGTGCATGGGCATGCGTGTCCAAAATCCCCAGAGGAGAATGGAGGAAAGGGATTGGGGTCATTCCTCCCTTTAGGGGTGATTTCTCACTTTCCCTCACCCTCAAGCAGCGACAGTGCCCTACCGCTATGGCAACAACAACAACAAAAAAAGGCAGGGCTTCCTCCTACACCCCCGGAGTGGGAAGGTTGCCCCAAGCCTCCCCCTTCACTCTGAGTTCCTCTCTCTAGGTGGCCACCCCAGTTCTTCTTGTGCCAGCAGCTTTCTGGAGCCAGGGCCTCCTGGGTGTCCTGCAAACTGGCTGTATCTCAGCAGGTGCCTCATCAGATGCCTGACCTTCCCAAACCCTCCCCTCACCGACTTCAACAGCAGGACTGTCCCTGTCTCCCTAGGGAGGGCCTCGGAACCTCAGCCTCTCACTGGGGCTGCTTCTCAGGGGCTCCTTCTCCCTAGGCCTGCGGCCTAACACCTTGCTGCTATGCCACTCCTCCTGCTAGGAGGAGCAGATATAGAGTGTTCGTCTTTCTTTTTTTCTTTTAAAAATATTTCATTCGGGAACCAGCAGTTAGCGTAATGGCTATGTCGCTGGACTCCCACGTAGTTGACCGCGGTTCGTGTCCCGGACCCGGTGGCTTAAAACTCACGCCGGGCGCGTGTGCGTGCGTGCCCAAGATCCCGAGAGGAGAATGGAGGAGAAGGGATTGCGGCGTGACCATCCCCCCTGGGGGGTGATTTCTCGCTTTCTGTCTCTATGTCTCTGTCTGTCTGGCGAGCGTACGCGCCCTACAGTGAAAATCTCTCAAAAAAAAATTTCATTCCATTTGGTATTATTATTATTTTTAATTCAACCAGAGAGAGAGAAAAAAAAAACAAGAGAAAGCAAGAAAGCAAGCTGCCAGGTCCGGACTCAAACCATAGTCTGCCATGTGGGAACCCAGCACCTTTAAGCACCACGCCACCTGCTGGCCCATATGGTACACATCTGTCAAAGTCTGGCTCACTCCACTCAGCAGTATGTCTTCTTGTCTTCCTGGTCCCCAGAAGCCCTATGGCTGTGGGAAATGGGAGCGGCACTTCCAGAACCACATTTTTGTTGTTGTTTTTTAAAAATTACTTTATTTAATATTATTCATTGTCATTATTTTACTTATTTATTTATTTATTTTAAGTTGAACAGAGAGAGACAGAGAGTGAGAGAAAGTGAGAAAGTTGCCAGGTCCAGGACTCGAAGCGTGGTCAGCCATGTGGGAGTCCAGCTGCCCTAACCACCACGCCATCTGCCGGCCTCTACATCTGTCTACTTTGAGTCAAAGAATAAGGTCGCATTGTTTCTTATAGCTAAGTCAGATTCCTTAGTAGATGCATGCCACAGGGTTTTTTTGGAGAGGTTTTTGCTATAGGGCGCATGCGCTCGCCAGAGAGACCTCTAGAGACAGAGAGACAGAAAGTGAGAAATCACCCCCCAGGGGGTATGGCCACACCGCAATCCCTTCTCTTCCATTCTCCTCTCTGGGTCTTGGGCACGCACACACACGCACCTGGTATGAGTTCAAGCCACCGGGTCCAGAACTCAAACTGCGGTCAACTACATGGGAATCCAGCGACATAGCCATTACGCTAACTGCTGGTTCCCCACAGTTTTTCAACCCAGTCATCAGTGTGTAGACACTTAGGTTAACACGAATGTATCTTGATGTGTCTAATAAAAATTAGGATCCTGAACCAGTCATGGTGTGGCGTAGTGGCTAACGGGGCTGAATCCCACATGGCCGACCTCACAGTTTGAATTCCAGCCGTGGCAGCCTGAAAATCTCGCCAGGCATGTGTGCTTGCGTGCCCGCAATCCTAAAGGAGGAAGATGGAGAAGGGATTGCAATGTGACCGAGGCTCATGGGGGGTGCTTTCGCTCTCTCTCTCTCTGGTGAGTGCATGTGCTCTCTGGCAAGCTAAAAAGAAAATGAGAATTGCTACTATTTACTGAGGGCCACCTTCACAACCACAGTGGAGTTACTATTATCCTCTTGACCATTAACAAGCCCAACTATTATCCTCTTTACCCTGGAGCTCCTGGAGGTGAGGGAGCCTTCTAAGGGCTCAGCCGGTAAATGTGGGGCAAACACCTAAACCAGGTCTGGTCACCCTAGAGCCCACCTCTTTCCGCTGGGTAACACAGCCTGTACACAGTCGGCACCTAAATCCTGTCAGATGAGTGGTGTCACTAGGCTGTGGGAGCCGAAGGAGGTGACGCTGGGATTGCAGAGAGGAGTGACTCCCTGGCGGTCAGGGAAATGCGTTGACTATAACTGATTTGGACATTTGCCACCGAGATCAGAGGAAGTAGGGGAAGGGGCATGTCAGGGAGAGACAGCGGAAGGGCGCCCAGTTCCACATGTCTTCATGGAAATTGTCATCAGTGTGGGTCAGCACATGTTTTCAGAGGGCAGCGATAAGGAGGTCGGGACTTGTAGAGGGAGCCTGAGGCAAGGGCGTGCTCTGCAGCCAGCCTCTCGGATCCCTGCTGTCTGTGACATGCGATGCCCTGTGGGCACTGAGGCTCTACAGCAGAAAGGTGCCAGGACCTGAACTCTTGGTTGGAGGGCCTGGAGTGGCTGTCTCGGAGGGCTACCTGCTGTCTGGACTTGCCGGGCCAGGGGCCCTCTGCCTGATGCCATGGTGGGATGGAGCAGTGGGCAGACTCACCTGGGCAGGAGCCCACAGGCTCAGCCTTCTGTGGTGTGCCAGCCTGGCCTCCTCTGCAGGGAGCCTCAGGTCGGTCAGTGTGGACACCTTCCTCCGGTCCGGGAGCCTCATGGCCTGGAAGAACAAGATCCTTCAGGACTCCAGAGACTTCACAGATGGGCCAAGGTCCCCCATGCTAGGAAGCAGGAGCATTTGAAACCCGTCTCAGCCCCGGCCCATAGGATCCTGTCCCACACCACAGCTGCACCCCAGCCACGTCAGGACAGCCTCAGGCTCCTTCTGGCGAGGCTTCCCTAAGGCTCAAAGCCACAGGCCTGGGGGCCCCCAGCACTCACATGAGCCCAGATTTAAGGCAATTCACTGGTGAAGATCAGGTTGTCAAAAAGTGTGGTGTACCCCCTCAGGTGCTCTATGCCTGCTGTCCCCCCACCAGAGCTCTTCTCCCCCTGCCTGCTGAGCTCCCTCAGCTCGGCTCAACTCACTCAGCTCAGTCAGCTCAGCGAGCTCTGTCTCTGTCTCTGTCTCGCTGAGCCCGCCTTCCCAGTGAGGCCAATTCCTACCACCCCACTTAATGCCGTAACAGGTCCTGCCCAGCACAGGGCTCAGGCCCCCTCCTGGACTTGACCCCTGCCCATGGCAGAGTCATGATCTAGCAGCTCACAAACTGCCTGTTTTTACATGTGTTGTTTGCCAGCTCTGCACTCCCTAGGGTTACCCTTCTCGAAGGCAGGGACCTTTGCCTACTCAGTCACCATCGGGCACTGCCTGCTAGAATAGCACCAGCCCATTGGTGCTCAGCAGGGGATGGCTGGGTGGGAGGAAAGCGCCTTCTCAGACAGGCTTCCTGGTCCCCGCGGCTTACCTGAGCACATGCCCTGCACTCCCTCTTCCCCGGAAGAAGACACCTGCTCCTGGGCGTTATGGGACCCTTCCCTGGGCTCACTCTGGGGGGCTACCTCCTGCTGTTCCACAGAGGATCCTGTGACAAGCGGAAGGATGGGACCAGTAAAGCAGCCAGCGCAGAACAGGTGGTCAGAGGCGGGGCTCTCCCCCTGTCCCAGCTGCCTGGGCAGGAAGGACAGTCTCTGTCCAGCATGCACAGGGCACGGTCCAGGTTCCTGGCAAGTGTCAACCTCAGCCCCTTTGAGCTGAGGACAGAGAAGGAAGGAGTGGAGTCGACCGAACTATCTTGGTGCTCTGAGTGCCTGTGTGGTTGTACAGCCTAGCATGCCTCCTCCGGCCCCAGAAATTCCATACACCCGATGAAGCTGACAAGGCGGCAGCTCTGCAGGCCCCCTCTGAGTTGTGGACGCTCTGGTTCCTGTTACCCCCCCCCTCTTTGGGGTTATTCACTCTGTGCTCACCCTCCAAGGTCTCTCTCATGGCAACCCAGAGTAGCTCCTCCTGGGACCTGCCGCAAGCCTAGGGGGAAAGACAGCCTGGTTCAGTCTCCTCCCAGGCAGCTCCACCCAGGCCCTGCTGCCCAACCAAAGCGGAGGCCTTGAAGTGGCCCAGGAAGCAAGCCTTGAAGACTGTCCTGCAAGACCCCCCCCCCCGGGTGGGGGAGGAGGTGTTGGAAGTCTGCACCCACGCCTCACCTGGCAGGTCTCTCAGCCAGCCTGGCCCATCGCACCCCACTGCCCATCCCAGGACCCTTGCCTGGAGAAGCACACGCACCCTTGAGTCTCTGGGGAGAGGGTGCAGGGTGGGAGACCTGGGGGGCGGGGCGGGAAATGTCATCCCCTAGGTATTTCAGCTGCCGCTTAGGAGGTGCCGAAAGAGGAACCAGCCGGCCTGGCCAGATGAGTGTCACTTTAGGGTACTGGTGGGGGAGAGCCTCGGAGAAGGTAGGAAAGGACTCTGGCTTCCTCTCCCTAAACCCCGACCCCAAACCATCCCTTCCGTTTACCCCTTCCCTACTGCTCCTCCCTCAGACTCTCCTCACACCCAGCAGACTCCCCCCATCTCTTTGGCCCCCTTCCCTGTGCCCCTCCCCTCTCCCCACTCCCTCTGCCTTCGCCCTCTTCCCACCCCATAAAAGCGCTCCTCCGGTTGGCGCTCCCCAGCCAAGCCACCGCCTCCCTGACCCTCCACTCCGGGCAGTCTCCGCTGGTTCCCCTCCTCCTCCCCGCTCGGCACCGCCTTCCCCTGCCCTCCCGGGTCTCCTGGCTCCATCCCCGCCCCGCTGCTACCCTCTCCCTTCCTTTCCCCTCCTCTTTTCCTTCCTCCCCAACACCCGCCCTCCCGCGCGGCTTTTCTTCCCCCACCAGCTCTCCGCGGCTCTCCCCTCCCCTCTCCTCCCCCACTCTGGTTTCCCTTCCTTCTCTTCCCCTCTCCTCGCCTCGGTTCCCTCCTCCTCCCTCTCCCCAGACCTCCTCCCCTTCCTCCTCCTTCTCCCCCTTACTCCCCTCACCATCCTATCCCTCCCTCCAG